TCTTTATTTCTTGCTACAAAGTAAACTTTTTAAAAAGAAAAGCCTTTGAAGATGTATTACTGAATTCAGTTCTGTGTAAACTAAATATGCTATAAAAAATGTAATCCCTTTGTGCCAGTTTTGGGAAATTACTTTGTCAGTTACTATGTTACCTACCTCACATATTTACTATATGAACTAGTGGTAAGATTTAAACAATAAACCTCCTAATAGACGCATGAACATTTTCCTAAACGTGAAGTACATAAACATAAAGATTGCTTTAGGAAGTGGGGAAATGCTTCTTTGGCAGGGTAAGCATGAATATTTAATGAACTCCATGCTTATCTCCTGTCCAGAAGGCCAGTGTTCCTTTGCTGCTGCCTTTTTTTTTTTTTTTTTTTTTTGAGACAGAGTCTCACTCTGTCGCCCAGACTGGACTGCAGTGGTGTGAGATCGGCTCACTACAACCCTACAACCTTCACCTTCCGAGTTTAAGTGATTCTTCTGCCTCAGCCTCCCGAGTAGCTGGGATTATAGACGTGTGCCACCACACCTGGCTAATTTTTGTATTTTGTAGTAAAGATGGAGTTTTGCTATGTTGGCCAGGCTGGTCTCGAACTCTTGACCTCAAGTGATCTGCCCGCCTTGGCCTCCCAAAGTGCTAAGATTACAGGTATGAGCCACCATGCCCGATCTTCCTTTGCTTCTTCATCATAAACTGACAACGTCTCCTTGTCAGGGAGACTTTTGAACTCCACTAACTGAAATTTCCCCATCAGCAAATTGAAGACAAAATTATCTAAAATTAGTAATACTAACAAAAATTCATATTGATTGTATGCTGACTCCATGCTAGCGCTTAATGCACATAAACAGAGTGTCATTTAAGCCCTGCAACAACCCATTTAGTATCTCCTTTTCATAGATGAGGAAGGTAAAGCTCAGAAAGTTTCGTTAACTTGAAGATGGACACACAGCAAGCTTGTGGCACTGTTAGGATCTTTTATACATAAACCTTGCCTTTGTTGTTTAAGAATTTAGTATTAACATTATTTATTTGTTTCTGTTTTAAGGATTATAGATTTTCAGTTGTGTGTAATACCAAGAGATTGCACTGTTTTCCGATTCTTATGAATATTATCAGCAATGGGCTACTTCGAATGCTTAATCACACACAACATATTCGAATTGAGTCAAGCCCATTTCCTCTTGTAAGTATTGGATTTACTGAGTCTAAACAATTAAGAATTGGACAAATAGCCTATGTTTTCTCTCTTTAGCTTTTAAATATCTACAAGTGATTGTTAAGCCTGAAAATTATTATTTTGTCCTAATATTTTAAATGAGTTGTAGCAAACAAAACAGGATTTCTTTTTCTTGCCAAGTTATCAGATAATTATCATGAGGGAATACTTTTCAATATTTTGTCAGTCTTCTAGGGAATGTTTTGAAAAGTTGTACATACTTGATTGTGGAAGTGTATGAGAGAGAGAAACAGAAGTAAGAAAACACTGACTTGGAAATCAGGAGCACTTGTAACCCTGGTTACTTATAAATCTATTATAATTAGTTAGTGGACCCTCCATTGACTAAATGTGTAGTAGACAGACTAATATGAAGGGGAATCTGCCAGTTCTGAGGCTATCTGTTGATTTATTTCTTCACCTACTCATAGTTGCTCTATGTTGCGAGGGACAGGCTGCATTGGATTCTGTGTCAGTTGGCTGTAGTCTGGCTTCAGACAGTTTAGACACCAGAAAGCAGTGATGGGAGACAGAAAAGCAGAGGACCCCCTACACTGGGCTCCAGTCACATCACCTCCTTCTGTTGTTCCTGCAGCCCAGGAGCAACAATGGCTTGCTTCTCACTTCACCGTCCTTGTGGGATGCTCACCACCCACCTAACCATGTCATTAAGGAATTGCACTCTAAGTACTTAATGTAGTCACGGTTTTCTGGTTAGACCCTGCCTGATACCAACAGGAGTCTCTCAAAGCTGGCTCTAACTGTTTCACACCAGAAGTTTAAAACATCAAGAAGCAGGATTAGAAATGAAGCCATCCAAAGCAAAGTCCATTGTGTGACAAAAGTGTGAAGTTCAGTTTTGGCTTCACTGAATCAGTGAATCAGTGGTGCTGGGAGAATATGCAAGCGCAGATTTTCTGCAAGCCATGGGGACAATGGGGGTGAAATATACAGTACTTGAGATGTTCGTGACAGACATATACCTCCGTGAGTTGAATATGAACAACTGATCACGTAAACAGGTCTGCTGCACAGGGTGACTTGAGGGAAGGAGTGTCTCAAGGGAATTCTCTAGAACATGGAACCAGAGGAGTAGCAGAAAGAGACAGTGATTACCCTTCCTCTTTGGAAGGATAGCAGCATAAGCCTGTCTCATTGCAGAATTATTTTGAGACAGGCTCATGCTGCTATCCTTCCAAAGAATACATCCACCCAGCTACTGAGATTTCCATCTCTGGGTTTGCTCAGAAAGACGTGCTGCTCAGGCCTGAATTATGTGTTCATCAGAAGTCCTAACTTCTGAATTATTAGCTTCCTAATGCCATTGTGTTTGCTCAGGATGGAAATGGACTGAAGTCCATAGCCACTCTATTAGGAACCTGTTCCCCACTCCCACTTCCCCATGGCACACACCTTTCCTCCCTCATTCCTATGATGAAAAATGGATTTGCAGACACAGCCCTCAAAACCTTAAATAAAGTTAAAGAATTACAGAATTATTCTGAGACAGGCTTATGCAGCTACCCTTTAATTATATCCATGAGGTGGTCCTAGATGCTGCTTGAATGTCCACTTGGCCTAGCCTCGAGTGGATGATGATTTGGGGGCAGTGATTTAAAGTTCCTTTCCCTGAAGTTAAGACAAGCAGCAACAAGTTTTCTTCTTAGTTCTGTGCTTCAGAACACATCCACCCAGCTACTGAGGTTTCCATCTCTGGGTTTGCTCAGAAAGACATGCTGCTCAGGCCTGAATTATGTGTTCATCAAAGGTCCAAACTTCTGAATTATTATGTTTGTGTTGTGGTAATAATGCATGATATAAAATTGACCATTTCAGCTGTTTGCAAGTGTACAGTTGAGTAGTATTAAGTCTACTCACACTGTTGTGAAATGCGTCTCCAGAACTTTTCCGTCTTGCAGAATTGAAACTCGACGCCCATTAAACATTTCCCCCTCCCCCTATCCCCTAGAAACCACCATCCTACTTGGTTTCTATGAATATTACTAGTTTACATACCTTATATAAATGGAATATTTGTCTTTTGGTAACTGGTTTATTTCACTTAGCATGTTTTCCAGTTTCGTCTACGTTGTAGCATGTGACAGGATTTCCTTCCTTTTTTTTTTCTTGAGAAGGAGTTTTGCTCTTGTTGCCCAGGCTGGAGTGCAATGGGGTGATCTCTGCTCACTGCAACCTCCGCACCCCGGATTCAAGCGATTCTCCTGCCTCAGCCTCCCAAGTAGCTGGGATTACAGGCATGTACCACGCCTGGCCGAATTTGTATTTTTAGTAGACATAGGTTTCACCATGTTGGTCAGGCTGATTCAGACTCCTGACCTCAGGTGATCCTTGTCAAGGTTGAATAGTATTCCATTGTTTGTATATACATACACATTTTGTTCGTCCATTAATTTGGACTTTTGGGTTACTTCCCCCTGTGAGTATTGTTGGTGTGAATATGAATGTGTGGGTGTCTCTTCGAGAGCTTGCTTTCAATTTTTTTGGAAATATCCCCAGAAATAGGTCCTAAATGACTTTTTGACTTCTCTTTGTTCTTTGAGTTGAAGATCAGAGTCATTTTCCTTCCCACCTGTGTGCATCGATGGTGATGAGCTACACGTTTACTTTGATTTTTCAACATTTCAAAAAAGTGCATTTTTGTGGCTATAATTATTTGTTTCATTTAACAAATATTCACTAGTTTAAGCCATGCTTTATATTTTCAGAGCCACATAGGACTCTGGACTGGGCTGCCGGATGGTTCCTTTTTCTTATTTTTGGTTCTATGTAGCATTTCTCCTTACATCACCATGGGCAGCATCAGTGATTACAAGGTAAGAAAAAGCGGGGAAAAAAAGAAATTTCAGGAATTTCAATATCTGTATTTTGAATGCTATGTGTTCAAAATGTTTTCTGAGAAAAACGTTTGAATGTATGTTTAATTTAGATATTGTAGCTAAACCTTATTCTTAGCAAGTCAGATAATTTACTTATAAAAACTCAAAATGCTTTTTTATTCCAATGTCACCTGAAAAGTACAATGATTTTTCAGAGACTCCAATTAGTCTAAACCTTCAAAGGGAAATATTATAAATCTTTTGACCACATTATTTCCCAAGCACAAGAAGGAAATCATTGATGTTGAAATTGAAGGCCAAATTTAAGACTTGAATTCCTTTGCCACTCTGGAAATTGCAATTTTATGTTATATTTGTGTTCAATTATGCCCATTATTCAGACAAAACAGTTACATATATCAGTGTTCACCATCCTGACCTAGAAACTCTCTAAGATATTTAGGTAAAGGTAAATGTATTATGTCCTCCAGGTCACAAAATAATACATCTTTTTTTCAGATGGAGTCTCACTCTATTGCCCAGGCTGGAGTGCAGTGGCACAATCTCGGTTCACTGCAACCTCAGCCTCCTGGGTTCAAGCAGCTCTCCTGCCTCAGCCTCCTGAGTAGACAGGATTACAGGCCTACACCACCACGCCCAACTAATTTTTGTATTTTTTGTAGAAATGGGCTTTCACCATGTTAGCCAGAATGGCCTCAATCTCCTGACCTTGTGATCCACCCACCTCAGCCTCCCAAAGTGCTGGTATTACAGGCTTGAGCCACCATGCTGGCCAATACTTCTTTTTATAGAGTTTAATGCCTTGAACATTATGAGGTTACTTTTCTATTCATTATGCAGAACCAAAAGAAGGGTGCCAAGCAAAACCAACAAAACGGAACTTCCTTTTTTTTTTAAATAGACAACTGGTAAACCATGGAACTGGCTCTATAAGCCTCAGGTTACTAAGCCGTATATGCATAATTTTTTTTTAATATTAGAAGATTAGATTTTATTTATCTTAAAATTTCTTCCAATGTGTTTGTGTTTATTTTAGATTTGCATTTTAATTGAATCTATATACATTTCTTTCTTTTTCTTTTTTAATCAGAAAAATGCTAAGTCCCAGCTATGGATTTCGGGCCTCTACACTTCTGCTTACTGGTGTGGGCAGGCACTAGTGGACGTCAGCTTCTTCATTTTAATTCTCCTTGCAATGTATTTAATTTTCTACATAGAAAACATGCAGTACCTTCTTATTACAAGCCAAATTGTGTTTGCTTTGGTAAGTAACACAGTACATAAACCAAATTTCATAAAGTAATTAATAATAAATTTTAACATTGTTATTTTATGTAGTTAAGATGTTTTAATTCATATTTTCTAATAAACCAAAACATAAAACATGGAAAGTTTTATGTATGATATAAATGTGTTTTAGATATTTGTATGATAAAATGTATGATAAAATGTGTTTTAGAATTTGTAATCTAATTTTTTCCTCAGTAATATTTTATTTTTTGACTGTGTTATTATTTGTATTATCCTCAGGTTATAGTTACTCCCGGTTATGCAGCTTCTCTTGTCTTCTTGATATATATGATATCATTTATTTTTCGCAAAAGGAGAAAAAACAGTGCCCTTTGGTCATTTTACTTCTTTTTTGTAAGTACATATACATACATACAAATAGAAAAATAGAGTTATTTTTTAAACTTCCGATGTAATCTTAAATACAGATGTCTGCCTTAAGCAGTAGGGAAAATTAATAATACTTTAAAATTGCACCATAGAAAAGAGAGGGAAGTGCAACACTGTTACTGAATCAATAATATTTCTAAAGAAATCAGGTGCTACCCATTGAACAGAAGTTATGGAGAATCTTACAGAAGACCTGACGTCTAAAACATCCTGTTGAGTTTATGTCTCCTTCAGAATACAGGGCTTCCTGCCAACACTAGAAAATTGGCTTCCTGACAGTTGACAGTACAACCCATCTCTACGGTCTTCAAGAGGCCTCTTTTAACCTTAGCTGCTGATAGTTTCAGATACCAAAGATGTTTTATACTTATGCCAGGTTACTTATTAGTATAAAAGTAAAGAGCTTGTCCAAGATCATGGAAAACGTTGCTGGAAATGTTTGCTGAAACTCTAGAGACACCAGAGTGCCTTGGGTCCTACACTTCAGGCCTCCATTAACTGATATCCTCAACTGGTGATTGAATGTCTGTCTGTAAAACAGCTCTCAACTCTTGGAATGGGAATCTTGAACCCATGAGAAGAACCCAACCAAAGATCATCTGTAAGAAATGGTATATTTAATATTAGATTGGTGCAAAAGCAATTGTGTTTTTCTTTTGCTATTTAAAGTAATGTCAAAACTGCAATTGCTTTTGCACCAACCTATATCACCCGCTGACTTCTACAAGAAATTAGTCTGGGACTCTTTTGGCCAGCAGGTAGCTATTGTTCCTTCTCAGTGGACAGCACTTGGGTTTGACTTCTCTGGGTTGTATTTCTTTGTATTCAGCAAGTAGTGTCTATAACTATATCTCTCACCACCATCAGCACAATCCAGTGGAAGTACAGAAGCTACAGAAAGAACATTAGGGTTACCTTACTCAGGCTTTCAGGCAGCCATGAGGATTTGGTGCACCAAAGGTCTTTCCATTTATCCTTTTCATGGAGACTATTTTTTGTTCAGCCAACAGACTTACTGCCATGTCCGGGGTAATCCCAGGTGCTAGATCAGATGTCTGTAGAAGAGAGTCTTACTGACACTCAGTTGGTTTCTTTTCAGCCAGCACTCTTGCATCTGTCTGGCAAAGGTGAACAAAGAATTCACATTCATTCTTTGTGTTTGCCAGTAGTTTTAGCTCTGAATAAAGTCTACCTTGGAGGTGATAGCCAAGAAATGTCAGGGTTATTGTCCAACATGATTGCACTTGGGTCTGCTCCTGCCAGCCTGAGTGATGCTGCCGGTGCCCTAGTGAGTGCCCCTCATAGACGCTCTTTCAGCAGCTTGTGCTTCAGTCCTAGGTAAACAGCGTACTAGAATCATGGTTCCTTCTGTTGCTTTTGCCACTCTTTGTGTTGACCCTTATTACACAGAAATCATTACAAACTGGAACAAATGCACATCTAGATGGACACTTTTTTTTGCTTTGTGCCTCATGAAATAGTTGCCCCTGGTTACCGTATACTCACAACTCATCCCAGTTTGTATAGAGCTGGAAATTTTTCAGATAAGGGAGCATTCAACATCAGTGGTAGAAACATACCTCAGCCCTTGCCTTTTAGCTTTTAGTGGAGAAGCTGATCTGATTTGATTTCCTCATGGCTGCAGGCTCTGTAGTGATGCTTTGGGTTGGAAAACATTATAGACAAGATTTTCTCAGCCAAGTTCCAGGAGTTCAAACCTGCGCATCAATTCCATAGACTGTGACAGACCTTCTAGAACTTAATATGCCAGAATCTTCCAAAACAATAAGTTTCATCTCTAGACTTAGAAAGCAGAAACCATTTTCCCATTGTGGAGTAAGGAGTGAGAGTCCAGTGAGAGCAATTTTCCTTCACAACACAGCAGAAGGCAGAATCTGCGTTATCATATTATGAATTTGCCTTGTATATATGGCAGCAAGTGAATAGATGAACAAAAGAAGAAATAACTTTGTTCTTTCTAAAGTAAGATGATAATGCAGAACTGCTTCTTAGGCTTGTGGACTAAGGTGGTGATTAAGGTGTTCTCACTGTGATTTGAAAAAAATTGTCACAAATAAAAGATCACAGCAGAAAATGACACTGAAAAACACTGTATTTTTAAAATCAAAACACATATACATATGATTGCATGCCTTTTATCCTTTGCTGCCATTTATGCTTAAGTTGTTATGGATTCAGATAAGGCAAGACAATATTCCAGAGGCAAGGTATGTTTTGTAAAATAAAGACTGTCCAAAATGTAAAAACAAAATTACACCGCAGTGTAATAGTAAAATATGTATTTGTGTATTTGTAATTTCCGATTATTTTTCCTTTGCCCTTCTTATGCTTATCTATTTCAGTGTATTTATTTATTTATTTCCTTTTTCTGTCACTGGAAGGAATCTACATATTTCTAGGATGGTGGAATGTCAGACTTGAAAGAAATTTGAAATTGTCTAGTATGATTTACCTAATTTTATAGTGTTGCAGGAAGTTAAGGAAACAGAGAAACTGATCAGGATGCAGGAGAGCTTTTATTTTAGGTGTATATCGGCTCAGCGGACATGCGTCCTGAAAGTCTGAGCCCCGAACAAAGAAAGTGAGCAACTTTTAAGCATTTTGGGGTGGGAAATATGTGAAGCAGGAAGCAGGTTTGCAGAAGCAAGAACAAACGCTGTTAGTCATTTATGCCATGACTTACATCTTAGGAAAAATATGAGTTGCAACTCAACTTTCACTTATTTATCTCGTGACCTTGCAGCTGCACAGCAAGAACAACAGGGACTTACAGAACTTACAAATCTGTGGGAAAGAGATATGGTTAGTGTTTCTTGGGACAGACAGTATTCTCTCTTAACTTTAACTTCTGGGAGGGAGGCCACTTAAATTCTTTTCAGCCTTGGTTAATACAGCAATTCATTCTATGAGTCATTGTTATTTTTCTTACTATTACTATAATTTTTACTATTATTACTTATACTATTATTCTGTTATTTTCTTAATTTCCTACTTCAATAGAGGAAAGAATTAAGTAACTTGCTCAGAAAAACACGAAGAATAGTGACAGGCTCAGGAATAAACTTGAGTCTCAGACCTTATGTCATTCCTTATGTTAAAAAATATGAGACAGTAGCATGGTTGGAAATACTGATTCAAAACTTGTGCTGATAACACATCTTGATTTCAGTAGGCTAAAAAGTTTCAAAATTATACCTCTTCACAAAGACCTCAAGCAGTTTGCACTAAAATTTGCATTTGCATACAGATAACTTATAATTTATTTCTAAATATGTATTGAAAATATATGTTGTGAGAATTTGTCTTTCATCGTACAGCTAGTATCAACTTAAACCAAGCTAGTCCTAGGACTAAGGTAATTTGTTTACTCCTCACAGGATCGTATGTCAGAAAGTATAGTATGTTGATATTCAGTGCGGTTGTCCTTTGGTGATCTGGGATCCATTTGGAAGGACAGTGCAGGTGATGTCTCTCCATCGTTGAGTGAAGCCACAGTCAGCAGTTAATTTGTTTCTAGAGTCCAGTGGACTTCCGTACCTCCAGGGTTGTGGTGCTTCATGGGCACCCCAGACCCCTGGCTGATAAGGAAGTACCTTTTCAGCCTATTATGCTCTGTGGTGGAGGTATAGTAGCACATCTTAGCACATTGAGTCCTGGAGTAACCGCTCGCACTGTCAAAGTTTAGACTCCTCTCTTGTTCCAGTGGATGAGAAGAGAGGAAAGATTGTAGAAATGTGGAGGTCTGGTAGAATAAGAAAAGTCAGCTAAGTGAACTAAAGGACTTAGAGTAAATCCGAGATTTCTCATTTGTAAGGGGAGAGATGATAAAAGTATCTACATTATGGAGTTGTGAGGATTAAATTATCCCTGCTAAATTATTAAAACCTGGCATTTATGTAATATTTAGTGAATTTAGCAATTATGATTCTGTTTTTATTATAATCGGTACATTAATAAGATCTGGCAAAGGGTAGTGCTCAATACATACTTGGCTGATCAATTGATTCTTAAAACAAAAAAATAAACAATTATCCTTATTCCTTCCCATTTGCCAATAAAAATTTATAAAATAAAATAAATCCATCACAATAAAAATACACACTCTCAGAAAAGTCCTTTGTTTGGTATGGGGAAGAAATGGAGCAGGAAGGACAATGAGAAAGCTCCGCAGTAGTCTGGTTGAGAGACAGTATGGATTGTTCATTTTTTTATGATAGCCATGTAACTTTCAACATATACAGGTTTTTATTCATTAGCAATATTGTTACCTTAGCTATAAAAAGGTAATCCCTCTATCCTCTTGTCTTGGATTAAATTTAATAATACACTGGCAAGAAGTCTATTTGGTCATTTTAGCCGTCACCTTAGTTGCCAGTCTTTATTAAGAATTTTCTATTGGGGATCATATGTATTTTTGTTAACAAAAGCTTCTTCCCTACTCTCTCTAAAAGTAGAAACTATCATTGCCAAATGAGTATATCTGCGTATAGGAACATTATGAT